TGCTGTTTTTCCATATCCAATAACAAAGAGCCATCGGTCAATGGAGTTTTGCCCTTTTTGTAGTCTTGGAATTCGGGCAATTGACGGGGTCCCAAAACGGGATCTTCATAACGCCAGATTTGTAGAGTGGACAAATCAGCTGAAAAGTTTAATAAACATAAATAACATAAATGAAAATAAAATAAAGATGAAAGCAATATTTACCTTTGAAACCCAAAATTTTGCCTAATTTTTCACGCAACGTTTTAACCGTTTCACCTTCGGAGACAACAGTGTTGACTTGAAACAGGCTAGATCTCTCAATGGGATTGGTAAATGTAACGGGAACATGAGGAGCAACGGTGAAAGCAATGAAGGGACTGCCAGGTCTTACTTCTTCTCTTGTCTTTTCGGGTGCCGAAGGATCATCGGTGTATTTCACCTCCAAAGCCTCTAAATCTAAAGTATTCTTCAAATACTCCAAGTTGTCAAGCAAAACTTGACGTTCATCAAATTCAAGATTAACAGCCATGGCAGCTAAACCTTTACCACTTTCCACCTTTTCACGTATCATTTGGGCGAAGGGCATAACACGTTTCATGAACTTTTTCAATTCCTCCTTCTTTTGCAAAGTGGCAGCAATGACCTTATTGTCAGGCAGTGAACCAGTGGGAGTGTACAATTCTCTCATGGTGTCAAGAACACAACATTGCCAAGGAGGATATGTTTTGGCCACCCACACTAAGGCTCTATTGGGTTTAACGGAAGTGGGATCGACAGCCTTTTCCTTGCCACCTTTACCCTTGACTTGCAAAAGATTTTTCAAATTCAAACGGAAGGAATGAGCAGCCTCCATTAAATATTCCGAGCACATAATATCAATTTCATTGATGTCACCCACCTCTGGCCATTGGGCGTGGAGTATGGATTGTTTGTTGCCCAACAAACCCCAAACATGTTCAGCCACATGAGGACAGATGGGAGCAATGAGTAAAGCTTGACGGCGTATGAATTCGAATACCAATTCCTCGTGCATGCCATGAGTACCGCACAATTCACGGTATTTATCTCTGGTCAGCTGGAGTTCATAGAAACCAGTACGCAAAGCCTCTTTGAATAACATTTTCTTGTAGTGTTCATCTGTTTGTTTGGTTTTCAAATTCATTTCACTAATGAAGACCTTATCGTTGAAGGTATGGTGAGGGCCCTTGCGCATAGCAGGGCGGGCAGCCAACATCTCCTTAACCCATTCATTAAAGGTGTACAGTCGAAGAATACCAGCATCAGCGGTACTTTCCACAAAATTAGCATCCTCTACACTGTCACCAGCATCAGCCAAACACAAACGCATACCATCGGCAGAGAATTTGTCGACGGCTTCATGTAGTGTCAGGAAATTACCATCAGACTTGGACATTTTTGAGGAATTCAAAAGTAAATGACCATTTACACGCATGCCCTTGGGCCATTTGGTTTCATCATTGGGCCATATGGCAGCATGATTGTAGATGGAGAATGTTAAATGATTTTGTATCAAATCCTTTCCTGACACTCTCAAATCCATGGGATACCAATATTCGAATTCTCTTCTCAAAACATCCAAAGTAGCTTGTGGCACCTTTGTTGTTTTGGGATAAGGAGTTTCCTTAAAGAATACATAATCCCAAACTTCGGGAGTCATATCCTCGGCTTTAATGCCCAAAGGACTGGGTTTTTCACCACGGAAAGAACCACCTTGCAACAAGTGAACAACGGTGTAGAAAGCCATGTAAATGGTAGAGTCGGACAAGGATTCTATAAGCCATTGTTCATCCCAAGGTAGTTTGGTACCCAAACCATAAGTACGCGAACAGGCATATTCATGCAGCCAATTCAAACAATGTTCGAAATTATTGCGGGCTTCATCATGGAATGTTTCCATTTTTTCTAAAATCTTGAAAGCCTGTGCTTGCCATTCTGCTTCGCCATAGTTCAAATACCATTGGTTGCACAAGGCCACCACACATTGATCACCAGAACGAGAAATAATGGTCTTTTCGGGTTCATAGTAAATGTCTGCTTCCTTAGAGTCAACCAATTGTTTCTGCAAGTCTTTCTTGACATCCTGTACCTTTTTACCCTTGTGCTCACCCACCAACATGACACCATCATAGAATCCTTTAAGGTAGCACAATTCCTTGGCTTCAACCAATTTGTCTTTGTCGTTTTGAGATTGAATTTTCAACAATTCGTAGGCATATTTGGCACACATGTTGCCCAAAGTGGGTACCTCAATAATGGAAATGGGTTCGTAGGGCAAAACCATTTCATCAGTGAGTCCGTACTTTTGTCTAAAAGCTTCCTTCTTTTGCAAATCCATTAAGGCAGCATAATCATCGGGAGAATCAGATGGTACTGAGGTCACAACACCAGTACCTTTATCCTCCTTAATGGACAACATGGGCAAAGTGTAAATGATTTTGTGTGAGGTTAAAGGTGAAGACAAAGGTGTACCCATAAGATCTTGTCCCGTTAATTCGGCCAATTCAACAATTTTACCCTCTTCGGCGGTGAAACCTTGATAGGACATATTTCTAGCAGCACGTCTAGTGCTGATCCAAACTTCATTGTTTCGTGTAGTTTGCCAAGCAATATACTTAATATCGGGATGCAACCAACAGTTAGTTTGGCCATACATGGTCTCAGGTCTTAAGGTGGCAGCTACCAAATATACCGGTTCTTTGATGGCACTAAAAGAGTTATCCATGTAAAACTTGCACATTAAAATAGAATTGTTTTTTTTTAATTTACCTTAATTTAGCGGGTTTTTCCAAAACTTTCATTTTAATTAAAGTATATTCTTGAGGTCCTACACCTTCTCCCGTGGAACGATCATGATCCATACAGGGTTGACCATCCTTGGGCGAATAAATGGTGTAACGTTTGCCATACATAACTTTGCCACGATTTTTCAAGTGCATAAATTGCCAGCGTACAAAGGAGTCGTAGAAGGGATTCACATCAGTGGTTATGAAAGTTCTACGCCAATCAACCTATAATAATAATCATAATTAGTAGTTAATGTTATTGTCTGTAGATTCGATTTCTACCAGAGGCACTGGTAAGGAAGCACAGAACAGGCCCAATAGAGTCGTAGTTGTATACTGATTCTTTTGACAAATATAAGTGCCTCTGGTAATAATCATAAATATACTACTATGCTAATTAGATGGAGAGTGAAAATTAATGAAAAAATGAAATGTTATCGTTTTAGATTATGAATCGGATTTTAATTTTCAATAACTCAGGTTTAAACAGTTCTGAGACGCTTTTGTTTTAAAACTATATATTTCTGATAAGTATCCAATAAATGACTCATCAACATGGAGATGAAAAACACATTTACTTTAGAAACGATTAATAAAAAAAAAAGTTCGATAAAGATGTATTTAACAAATTTTTAACAACAATTTCACACTAAAAAAAAATCCCTAAATGCACATAATAAACCCACCAAAACAAATATTTCAATCAAATATCAAATAACTAACTTAATACTTACATGTATACCAATTCTCTTCAAATCCTTTACAGCCAAGGGAGGGAAATAATTTAGCCAATGCTCAGCATCGGCGAATTGTTTAATTTCCTCATCTTGTAAACCCAAACTTTGCATAATTTGCCATTGATATTTAGCCGAACCAGTCTTAGCAACAGCCTTACTCTTCTTACCCTTCGATTTATCCTTGGGCACATCGGAAGTTTCGACAGGAGCAACCTCTGCAGTGACAGCTGGAAATTGTGGTGGATAACCAAAATCTTCCATTTCACGTTTCAATTTATCAGCGCAAGCCTTAATAGGCATGCCGGTACAATGGAAACCAAAAGGCCACAAAACACGTTTACCCTTGGAACGGTGATAGCGTATAGCAAATTCAGCCTTTGACAATGAGAATGTATGACCCAAATGCAAGCGGCCATTCATATAGGGATAAGGAAAGGTAACGAAAAATTTCTCATCTTGAGATTTTTTGGGCTCCGCGGGGGCATCGATTTCGTGTAGATGTTCTTGTTCCCAACGTTGTTGCACTTGCTGTTCGATCTTCTGTAAATATTCCACCTTAAAGGTGCCTTTACGCTCCACATTAGCCTGTAAGCAGAGAAAGTTAAATGTTTACTTTTCACTTATAATATTCTTTGTAAATTACATCAGCAAAACTGAGGGTATGTTTTCTGGAGAAAATCATGACGACAAACACTCAACCACACTTCTTTGCAAAAATATTTCTTGTGAATGAATCAAAATATTTGTGTAAAATTACCCACAGCTTATAAATTGTTTGCCTGCACTTACCATACTGTTGTTGTAGCTGCGCACTTGCTATTTTTTGAAACAATTTATTTAGAATTGTTTAAATTTTCGCTAAAAATTTAAATAATCTTGTAACAAAAAGTGCAACGTGTTGTTCCACCAAAAAGAATCAAAAGAATTTTGACATTTCAATAAGCGGTTTTTGGCCAGTGTGGCCAGAGTTGTCATTTTTAAAAAGCACCGTAGGGGAATTACAATTAGGAATTAATATCAATATAGAAACCAGACATGGGTAATTGAAATTTATTATAGTTCTAACTAAAATAAATTAATAAAGTTGCGACACGAGTTGCGTTGTACAAGAACGTCTACAAAAAACACAGCCAATTTGTTTTTGTTCGAAATACCAAACTGTCAAAATTTGTTTACCAACAATACGAAAAGTTACTAAATATTGAATTTTTAGCAGAATATTACAAAAATTGTGTATTCTTATTATTGTGAACCGTTAGTTTATAAGTAAATCTCGTGAAAATGAGTTGTATAACGAGATAATTAAATAAAATAGTATTACGAATACAAAAATTTCCTACTCTAGTAGACAATTTAAATATTTGTATTTAAAATACCACTTTTTAATCTCTCGGATTCGTTGAAAATATAAAAATAACTGAATAAAAGTCGATTTTAAGCCGCCACAAATATTTTTAGTTTCAGCCGTCGTTAATATTTGTCGGCGCAGGGCTCTGGCAACAGCTGTGTTGTTAAACGTTTTCTAGAAATTTAAGCAGAAATTTTAGAAAATAAACTTAAATTTAAATAAAATACCTTTAAAATTAATTACGTTAAAAAGAAAAGTGGACTTAAATAAACCAGCAACATGTCTTATATGTTACCACATTTACACAATGGCTGGCAAGTGGATCAGGCCATTTTATCTGAGGAAGACCGCGTAGTGGTAAGTAAATATTGCTTTTAGGCCTTAAATATTTTTACAATTACTGTTATTTTGCTTATAGGTCATACGTTTTGGCCACGATTGGGACCCGGCCTGTATGAAAATGGATGAGGTCTTGTATAGTATTGCGGAGAAAGTGAAAAATTTCGCTGTCATTTATTTGGTGGACATAACCGAAGTTCCTGATTTCAATAAAATGTACGAATTGTATGATCCCTGTACGGTAATGTTTTTCTTTCGTAACAAACATATTATGATTGATTTGGGTACTGGTAATAATAACAAAATCAATTGGCCTCTTGAGGATAAACAGGAAATGATTGATATTGTAGAAACAGTATATCGGGGCGCCCGTAAAGGTCGCGGTTTGGTGGTATCACCTAAGGACTATTCAACGAAGTATAGATATTAAGGAGTACTATTAGTATGTAAGATATTTTAAGTTCTTTTTTTTAAATATTTGGTAAATAAAAATATAAAAATTTTGAAAAGATTGTTTTGTTTTTCAATTTACGGAATATATTTAGATATTTTAGGTCTATTATAGAATTGCGGGTCGGTTCCAGGGAAGCATTTATGCAAATTCGCCTAGAAAGGATGTGTTATTGTAAAATTTATGTTTAATTTGAACAACATACGCCTCAATGGGTAGTATCGATAGTACGGGTAATAATAAAATCAATTGGCCTCTTGAGGATAAACAAGAAATGATTGATATTGTAGAAACAGTATATCGGGCGCCCGTAAAGGTCGCGGTTTGGTGGTTTCACCTAAGGATAGATGTTAAGGAGTACTATTAGTATGTAAGATATTTAAGTTCTTCTTTTTAATATTTGGTAAATAAAAATTTTGAAAAGATTGTTTTGTTTTTCAATTTACAGAATATATTTAGATATTTTAGGTCCATTATAGAGTTGCGGGTCGGTTTCAGAGAAGCATTTATACAAATTCGCCTAGAAAGCATGTGTTACTGTAAAATTTATGTTTAATTTGAACAACATACGCCTCAATGGGTAGTATCGATAGTTCCATTTAATGAAACATTAGTTTCCTTTATTATGGCGTTTCGCATCTAATAAAACAAATTTTTAATGATTTTTTTAATATTATTTACTGATTTTCTTTATTAAATTGTTGCTAACATTTACATTAATGGTTTTCCTTTTGTTTTTTGTTAATATTATTTTGTTTTTTTTCGAATTTGTTTGTTTTCTTCTGTTTTAAATAACATTTAACTAAAATTTTACTCATATATGTTTTTTTATTTTCTGTTTTATTTAACTTAAACGAATTTTATTTATTTGTTGTTTTTCTCTTATTTTTTGTTTGTGTTTTTTTTTGATACCCATTCAACTAATAATAATTATATTGTTAGTTGTTAATATATGTTTTTTATTAATTATTTTTAATTTTACTTAAATTATAATAATTATTTTCTTTTATTTTGTTTAAAACTATTTCGTAATGCTTATGTTTAGTTTTTTTTTAATTCTTTAATGTTTAAAGAAAAATTATAAATAATGAAAATATTATTTAAATTATTGAAATTATAATACAAATACATATGTATGTAATTAAATTAATTTAATGGTGTTTGTTTTTTGCTTTATTTTGTTTTTAACTTTCTTATTATTGAGATAACAATGATTTTTTTTTTAATTTTTTTATTAAATTTATTTTGTTAAACTATATCATAAATGCCTTAACTGATTTTCCTTAATACTGTAGCATCAATCATATTATTTTACGAATTTAATTTGTTTTATTTTTAATAAATAAATAATTTAATAAATTATAGTTTTGTTATAAAATTTTACACCATGTTTTAAGAGTTAATAGAATGATTTCAGTTTTTAACAGAGAAATGTTATGGAAATATTGAAAAAAAAAATAGTTTTAAAGATACGAATTGCTTAATTATTGGCAAAATTTTAAATTTGAACTTTCGAAAAAGTGAAACAAGTTGAGAATCCTTTAGAGCGAGTTTTTGAGATGGTAATCAAATGCCAATTAATAATCAGATTAGTTAATCTAAAAATAAATTTAATCTTATGTTAATCCCCTTTGATGTTTTTGAGTACAAGATTAAACTTCGCAGTGTTGCCATACAAAATAACAGAAAACTTCACTGTTTGTTATCAAAACAATGCATATTTTATAAAAAGAAGAAGACAATTGTAAATTTAACATGAAAATTAATGAAAACTTAAATTAAAAACAAAAAATGTATTTGGGAGTGTCCATAATTTATACTAATCAATAAATAAAGTATTTTAATGTTTATATTTATAAAAATTTTGTTAATTTTTTTGCATCAGCTGTTTATACTTTTGCATTTCGTGCTTAAGATTAAAAAATTAACTAATTGAGTACTCAAAAACATCTTTCGAGGATTAATTTTAATTTAATCGCTAATCTTTCACCTAAAGATTGGCCCTTAGAAATTAAACGAGTTGTTAAAAATTTCGCTGTCTATTTATCTAAGGTCCCATGCAAATGTCAAAAGTTTTAAAAGATCTTGTTATCAAAGTTATTCTTACTTTTCGGAAATTTTCAAAGTCTATGGTCTAGTCTATTGCTTAGTCTAAATACTGGTCTTTTGGCGCTAGTATATAGACTAATATATTAGCTAGTCCATAGACTAGTCTATTGTTTAGTATATACATATAGTTTATTGCTCTATAGACTAGTCTATTGTTAAGTCTATAGACTAATCTATGAACTTGTTTATTGGATAGTCAATAAACTAGTCTATGGAATATTCTATTGTGTGATCTGTTGACTAATCCATGGACTAGTGAATTGACTATTCTATATACTAGTCTTTTGGCAAGTTTATTGACTATTTTATAGACTAATATATGAACTTGCTTATTGATAGCTTATTGGCTAGTCTGAGGACTATTGTTTAGTCTATAGAATGGCCTTTTCTTTAGTTTAGAGACTAGTCAATTGTTTAGTCTATAGACTAATGAACTAGTCTATTGGATAGTCTATGGACTATTCTATTGTTAATCTATTGACTAATTCACTCTATACACGAGTCTACTGACATGTTGATCTATTGACTTGCTTAATGACTAATGGAGTAGGCAAGTCCATGGGCTAGTTTATTGGCTATTCTATGGCCTTATCTATAGGCGAGTATATGTATATACTGGTATATTGGAAAGTCTATAGTCTAGACTATTGAATAACCGATGGATTGGTCTATTGACTTATCTATGTACAAGTCTAAAATGAATTATTTTCTCAAAATTAGTAATTTCTGTTGTGTTTATGGTCCATATAAGTTAAAGGTCAGAGAGTATAGTAATAACTGTCACAACTTTTAAACGATTTTAAACATGTTAGCGTTTTTAGAAAGAAACTGTTATAAAGATTACGATTCGTTTTAAATAACAACAAAAATTAGTTGTTAACGAAATCGAAATCGGAAATAAATTATAAATTTAGAGATTTAAAAAATCTTCAGATGTGAAGGAATAGATTGGTTATATATTTTCAACTATAGATTGGTGTAGATAGTGTGATCTTTATTCTCGACTTTTGATGGTTTGCCTAAAATATCAGAATTATAAATTTTACATAAGAAAATGGTATAAGTGTAAAAGAAAAGATGTTGATATGAAAAGAAAGATGGCGTAAAATATTATAAAATTAAACACGATTCGTTTATAATAAAAATGTTTCTTAAATTGTATTCAGTTTTGTATTGCAAATTGAAATTTTCTTATAAATTCTTCTTAAATTTGGAAAATTTTTCGAATAATACAGAATTTATATTTGTTGATTTGATTTTCTCACCATATAACTTAAATTCTATATATTTTTAACATTAATATTACTTTTTTTTATCAAACAATTGGTTCCACTACATTTTATTATTATTTTTTTAGTTTTTGTTTATTTTTTAATAAATAACTTTTCTTTATTTTGGTTTTGTTGTTTATTTATAGATTCTAATCATTGAACAATTCTTAAATATGGGACTACAACATTTTTTGTTTGTTTTATATTTATTTTTAATATTAATTTATTTTATAAGTAACTAATAATTATGTTTACGATCTTCATTCAGCATTTTTTTTATTTAAAAAGAAAATAATATAAAAACAAAATTAATATTTAACAAATTGTATTTATATTTTTTATATTAATTATAGTTTTTGATTTATTTCCTAAAACAAAATTTATTATTTTTGTAATTTTGTCTACAGTTATAATAGCAGACAAGCTTTAGTGCAGCTGTTTGTAGTTTCTTAAAAAGAAAACTTTTACAAAAATTAAGCTTAAAAGTTATTATTTGAAAATTTGAGCTTTAAATTATTGTATAATTCTCAATGAAAACTCTTTCAAAAACAGCTTTATTTTTAAAAGCTTTCTTTTTTTATTATTTTTGTAATTTTGTTTACAGTTATAATAGCAGACAAGCTTTAGTGCAGCAGTTTGTAGTTTCTTAAAAAGAAAACTTTTAGAAAAATTAAGCTTAAAAGTTATTATTTGAAAATTTGAGCTGTAAATTATTGTATAATTCTCAATGAAAACTCTTTCAAAAAAGCTTTATTTTTAAAAGCTTTCTTTTTTTTTGTTCAAAACTTTACTTCATTTCTTTTTAAAAGAATTTTCTGCTTGTATTGTAATTCTCATTTGGTTGTCAAATTTGGTACAAAATAGTAGTAATATGTATTTATGTATTTTTGTTATATTATTTATTACAAATTAATATTTCCTTGCATTTTATTCTAGAGATGAAACAGACTATTCAGGTTAATTTTTTTATTTATTCATTTATTTAAAAAATAAGTTCCTATTTATTTTCTTTTTTTATGTATTACAGATTTTTTGATTAATTTTCTTTTTATTAAGTAGAAAAATAGATGCTTGATAGGTGGGATGATTTTAGGAAATTATTATTATTTTTTTGGTTTTATTATAATTATTATTTTTATTTATTCATACTACTCTTGTTGGCTCTTAGTTTCTAAAAAATATTTCTATTATTTATTTATTTTTTTTGTATGAAGTGGTATGAAAATATTATTATTTTTTTTTTGTTTACATTTCTACATTAGTTTTCTGTTGTTTATTTATTTTTGATATTATTGGTGCATTTTTGTTGTTTGTATTACATTTTCCAGTATTTTTCTTTAAATATTAGAAAGTGCTTTTTCATGTTTTATTTAATCAGGTATATGAGTTGCAGTAGATTTGAAATGTTCTATAAATTTTGGTATTTTGATTTAATTTTTTTTATGAAAAATTTCGTTTGAACCTAAAGTACATATGTATGTATGTATGTGTGGTATGTGGCAAACAATTAGAAAATTGCGAAGAAAGATCGTATAAATGCTGTCTGGTGAGATTGAATTTTAGCTTCGTTGATTTTCCAAAAGGAGTAATTTGTTTTCCGAATTCCGTCAACTGGAGACTATAGTCTCGACTATACACTGATCTGTAGTCTATAGTATCGGATTTGTCTATACTTTTGACTATAGGCTGGAGAGTAGTCACGTCTAAGGACTCATCTGTAAACTAGTCTATATCTCGTTTATAATCTGCCCTAAAGTATCGACTACAGACTATAGGTTCGACTAGAGAATGGTCAATAGTATCGACATTATACTGGTCTATAGTTACGACTAGACTAGTCTCATCTATAGACTATACAGTAGACTATTCTATACACTATTCTATTCTATTGTATAGTCACAACTATAGGCCATTCTATAGTCACGACTATAGACTATTCTATACTCACGACTATAGACTATTCTATAGAAATGACAATATACTATTCTATAGTTACAACTATAGACTATTCTAGAGTCACGACTATAGACTATTCTAGAGTCACGACTATAGACTATTCTATAGAAACGACTATAGACTATTCTATAGTCACAACTATAGACTATTCTAGAGTCACGACTATAGACTATTCTATACTCACGACTATAGACTATTCTGTAGAAACGACTATAGACTATTCTATAGTCACAACTATAGACTATTTTTTAGTCACCACTATAGACTATTCTATAGTCGCGACTATAAACTATTCTATAGTTACGACTATAGACTATTTTATAGTCACAACTATATATTATTCTATAGTCACGACTATAGACTATTCTATAGTCACGATATAGAATATTCTATAGTAACGCCTATAAGCAGTTCTATAGTAATGATTATAGACTATTCCATTGCCACAACTAAGAACTACTCTATTCTATAGAGTATTCCATAGTCTTCTATAGATCTGTGTATAGTATCGACTATAGATTGGTCTATAGTATCGACTATAGCTTCTACTATAGACTATTCTAAAACACGGCTTAGACTATTCTATAGACACGACTATAGACTATTCTAAAGTTACGACTATAGACTATTTTATAGTCACAACTAAATACTATTCTATAGTCACAACTATAGATTATTCTTTAGTCAGAACTATAGTCTATTCTTTGGTCACAACTATAGACTATTCTATAGTCATGACTATAGACTATTCTATAGTCACGACTATAGACTATTCTATAAAACGACTATAAACTATTCTATAGTAACGACTATAGACTATTGTATATTCACGACTATAGACTATTGTATAGTCACGACTATAGACCATTATATGGTCACGACTATAGACTATTTTATAGTCACAACTACGACTATAGACTATTCTATAGTAACGACTATAAATTATTCTATAGTAACGACTATAGACTATTCTATGGACAAAACTATAGACTATTCTAGTATCGATAATAGTTTCGAAATTAGACTATTCTAAAACACGGCTATAGACTATTCTATAGTTTCAACTATATAATATATAGTCTCAACTATAGATTGGTATAAATTATTGACTATGGACTGATCTAAAGTATCGACTATAGAATATATATAGCCTCGATAGTCTATAATCTCAACTATAAATTGGTCGTCTATAGATTGGTCTATATGTAGTGTGGACTATATTTTGGTCTATTGCATCGAATACAGATTGGACTACAATCTCGACTATAGAATGATTTATAGTCGTAACGACTCTCATTTTTATTTGTCTCTACTATACGATAAATATTACAAATTTAGTAGGTCTTCAGGAAATATGATTATAGGTTTGTAATTCAACTATTTAAATGCAGAAGATATTCTAAAAATCTTTCCAAATACAGCAAATACACAATCTTTAATTCAAAATTTTTCTATTGTTCAACTAAGAAACCGTATAAAGAGAAACCTTAGAGTAAAGACACATAAAAGTATGTTTATGAAAGTAAAAGAATACGATTTTTTTTTAAAGTAGATTTCATCTAACACAGAGTAACAAACAGTCTCTTGACTAATATATATATTTCTTAATTTGTTTTTATTAATATTTTATAAAATAAGGTCATATTAAGCAAATATTTAAAGAAAAATCTAACTATTATTTCTTTAAATATTCATTAAATAAGACCATAACTTAATTTAATTTTTTTTTAAATAAAAAAGGAAACCAAAATTTTAACTAAAATTTTGCATGGCAAAATAACGTTTTTCTTTTTTTTTTCAAAAATTATTTTTAAATACTAAAACAATAAAAACAACATCCAAATGTGTTTAAATATTTTAACTGCTTCTTTGGTTTCAGTTTTTTTCAATTACTAACGTTCTTTTTACTTAAAGGCTAAATGTTTTGTTTTTCCAATTTTTTTCTTATTTTATTTGGTTTTTTTTCAAAAAGGACTTTTTTCGTATTTAAATACTGACTGATTTTACTGCATTCAATTCTCCAATTTCACTAATTACTAATTAATAGACTAATTAATAACACTGTGTGACAGCAAAGCAATACTCAACATGTGACAGTTGTAGATCACTCCACCCTATTTGGAATTTTTAATCTACCTCGGAAAAACTCTCGATTCTCGAGGTATATCCATTTCTAAATATGGTGTTGTAAACTACACTACTAGACTAGATCACTAGATCACTAGATCACATGTAGGGCAAATACACTTTTTGTAATTTTGTCACATTGTGTAATTGTTATAATTATAATAATATTGTTTAATAATAAAAATTAACAACAAGCTCTTTTTATATATAAAATTAATTATTTAAATTGTTTTATTTATTTATTATTTTATATTATTTATATATAAATTCCTTATTAAATTGCACAGAAAATATGTATTTATCCCTTATTATCATGATGAAAATTATGAATTTATTTTGCTGGTTTTGATTAACAGAGCTGTAAAGGAATTTATTTATTTTGGGGGGCAATGGAGTGTAATGTAAGAAGTGTATCAAAATTTAACAAATGATTTATATTTACACTTGTATTACATTGATTTTTAAACGATTAAACTAATTGTAATTGATGTTTAAACCTGCTAGTTAAACTTGTTTAAACCTCATGTTTAAAGTGTCAGTTTATGCTTCAAATTTTGAACAAAAAGTTTACGACACAAGTTTAAACTGTAAGTTTATGACTTAGGTTTAAACTGTAAGTTAAAGACAAGTTAAAACTATAAGTTTAAAACACAAGTTTAAACTGTAAGTTTATGACTTAGATTTAAACTGTAAGTTAAAGACACTTGTTTAAACTGTAAGTTTAAGATACAAGTTAAAACTGTAAGTTTAAGATACAAGTTTAAAGCGTAAGTTTAAAACACAAGTTTAAACTGTAAGTTTATGACACAAGACTAAACTGCAAGTTTATGATACAAGTTTTAACTGTAAGTTTATGATACAAGGTGAAACTGAATGTTAAATACACAAGTTAAACTGTAAGTTTAAGATACAAGTTTAAACTGTAAGTTTAAAACACAAGTTTAAACTGTAAGATTATGATACAAGTTTTAACTGAAAGTTTATGATACAAGTTTTAACTGAAAGTTTATGACAAATGTTTAAACTGTATGTTAAATACACAAGTTTTAACTGTTTACGACACAAGTTTAAACAGTTTAAGATATAAGTTTAAACTGTAAGTTTAAGACACAAGTTCAAACTGTAAGTTTAAGACACAAGTTTAACTGTAAGTTAAGGACACAAGTTTAAACTGTTATTTTATGACACAAGTCTAAACTGTAGGTTAAAGGCAAAATTTTAAACTGTAAGTTTAAGAAACAAGTTTAAGACACAAGTTTAAACTGTAAGTTTAAGACACAAGTTTAAAGTGTAAGTTTAAGACACAAGTTTAAACTGTAAGTTTAAGACACAAGTTTAAAGTATAAGTTTAAGACACAAGTTTAAAGTGTAAGTTTAAGACACAAGTTTAAACTGTAAGTTTAATACAAAACATTAAACTGTTAGTTTAAGACAGAAGTTAAAACTGTAAGATTAAGATACAAGTTTAAACTGTGAGTTTAAAATACAATTTTAAACTGTAAGTTAAGGACACAAGTTTAAACTGTCCCTTTAACACAAAACTTTAAATTGTAAGTTTAAATTCGGTATCTATGATTATAATATATAGCAAACTAAAAGCTGTGATACACGTTTGTCAAATCTTACAACGTTGTCAGTAAATTGTGCAGAAAATGTCTAACAATCGTGTGAACTTGCAATTTTTCTTTCGCAACGTTGTATTGACATTTCTATGTTGACATTGTTGTTAGAAATTTTCCGCACATTTTACTGCCAACGTTGTAAGATCTAACAACAGAACCGATCTAACAAAATTTGTTCTATAAAACTTCGGTAGATTGTTGTGAATAAGTCAATTAAAGTAAATCGTTTCGATCGTTTATACAAACATCTAAATATCATTTTAAATTTCTAACAAAATTTTTAATCCAAACTTTATTTTTAAAAGAAAAACTATCCCAAAATTCTTAAAATAAATTAAAATTCCTCTATAGCTCTATCTATCTAAAGTAACTTTATACCGCCATATTTAATATTCATTTTTTATATGTTCTCATGCAAAGTGGTGATCTTTAAAATGAAAGCTGTCAAATGTCGAAGACGAACAATATTAGAAAGTAAACAAACTGATGATGTTGATGATAGACTTAGAAGAACTGTTAGCTAGAATAATGTTTCTTTGGACCATTTACGTGATGAACCCGGTAAACTAGGATCACTAGGTTGATCATTCTTACAGCCACGACTAAGCTCCTGATCGGCACCTTTAGTATGTTCAGATGCTTGTGAGTTCTCGGTCGAACTATCTTCGGTTGGCAGACGGATGAGGGGTAATTCTAGCATTACCGAAGGACAAGGACTATGTTGTGTTTCGAATGCAAAATAATCGTCGGGTGTGTGGGGTGTAGAATCGGTATAGGTAAGATTTGTGGCACTGCGGCTTATTGTTATGGGTGTAACAGTGTGTTGATGTTGTTGTTGTGTAGCTGATGATGGTTTATGTTGTAGTATCAGGCTTTTAAGAGAAGAAGGCATTTTTATTAAAGGTTCCTTTGTTTGTATAAAAGAATCGGAAATAGAAGAGGCACAAGGATCATATTGGGTTGATGTTGAAATTGGCAGTTTTTGCAGAGAATGCTGATGATGATGTTGTTGTTTTTGTTGTTGGTGAAGCCGATTCTGATGCAGCTGTAAATGATGATAATGTTGAAGATGATTTGGGAAATGTAATTGTGAGACATCTTTGATACTTACGTGCTGTGAATCACCGAAAGGACTGGAACGACCAAAACTCACAACCGTATTTAAACTACTGTGCTGGGTAAGGCTAGTGGAGCCCCTCGTAGTGCTACTACCCATTGCTACAGTTTCAGTGCTGCCGCCTGTTATTGTATCGCGTATATCAGCCACATTGTCAGGGCCCATGCCCACTTCGGTATTGAGGGTAGAGCAGGTATCCTCCTCTGTGGTGTTTGTGGTAGTAGTTGTGGTTGTTGGCAGACTTTGTGGGTCGCTGTACTGCTGCAGTAGTTGCGCTCGCCGGGGATGTGTTGGAGGACTGTTTGTACAAATGATGGCACCAAAATGGGTTTCCAAAGGTGTCTGCTGTTTGGTATCAAATGACGTATTTGATGTTTGAGCTATACTCGAGGAAAATTCTTTTAGAGGCTGACCCAGTAAAGCTACGCGATCACTGGAAGACACACTTATGGTGCGATGACGCTGTAACAATGATCTACGTACACGCGCACTGGCAGTTATAGGTATACCACTGACAATTCCCCCTACCGTGGGCGAATCAGTGGTTATTGGAGTGTTGGCATTGGAAACTTCTAAACTGTAACGTTTTTCCAGGGGATATCTTGATGTGGTTGCACTCGTGGTTCTTGTCACGGTGGCAGGGGGTTCCACAATATCCTGTTGCTTAGTCGCTGTTACCAAACTCTCTGCAGCTTCCAAATTTTGCTCTTCGGGAAAACTGGCTTCTTCACTGTCGCTGCTTAACTGCTGCATATCTTCATCGGTATCTGCCACACTATCCAGAAATACCGAATCTTCATCCATAGATCTTAGTTCAGAATCTTGATATTCCAAAGATGAAATCTTAAAGGAACTTAATGATGCCAAAGGGGCTCTCTTATCGGCATTAAATAAAGCCTTGGCAGAAATAGTACCCAAACTACCACTACCATTGAGCTTATCAATACTTAAGGGGGTGCTATCAATACTGATGCTACTCGAATTGGCGGCATTAGCCGCAGCCTTGGCAGCTGCGGAATTTGAATATGGAAAACTATTGTTATTTTCACAGGCAAAGGCCGCTAAACTGGGCGGCGTATCCTGTTCGGGATATGGTATGCGTGGAAGTTCCATTACCGCAATTTTGCGTTTCACATTAAGACGCAGTTCCTCAGTGGGGGAATCCGAAAAACGGAAGCCATGATGCACCCCCACCGGAGGAGCTGATTGTGCTGGTTTCGAAGCATCATAAATACCTCTTTCAGTCAACGGTTGATTATAGGGATAGACATCTACGGTGTCGGCGCTTATTGAGTGAATTTGTTGTTTGCGACCAGACTGAGCACTTTCTGGATCATAGAATGCTATACTATGCTTTCGTATAAACTGATTGGAAGTTGTGGGCGTAACGGCTGCTTTCGATGACGCCAAACCATTGGCAGTTGCTGAAGCCGTTGTTGTTAGCGATGTAATAGGTTTGGAGGCTGGTTTACTGGCTGTGGTTACCGTGGCCAGACCTCGCAATGATGTTTCCATTGCTATAGTTGTAGTCGTTGTTTTGGAAGCCTGAGTTTGCTGCTGCTGTGATGGTGTGGGCGTTTGTGTCTGAGCCAGCAATTGTTCGTAGATACTGCGTTCGGAGGGGCAAGGTGATGGCTTGGGAGTGGGCTGTATAACTTGTATATCGGGATAATAATAATCCCATATATCGGTACTCGATGCTCGTGAAGCTGTTGAACATTTTCGCTGTAATGAAGGCGGCAGGTTTGACATACCCAACGTAAAGGCAGAAGAACGTCTTTCCAAATAAGAACTATCAGTGCTGCAGCAGGTTATGGCGCTACTGCGTCGCGAGTCTTGACCCTGTTTATTAAGGAGAGGAGAAATTTGTATTGGGATTAAATAAATAATATTACTTTATTTTAACATTTAGCAACGGTCTATGAAAACTACCATGATTAAGAAAACTATCCCAAATTATCCGTGTGTTCAATGATTGAGATGTATGATGGGTTATTCAAAGACTTTGTTTGGCTTGCTTTAAGGTTGTTTAAGACTGACTAAAAGACCAGCTTAAAACTTTTTCTAGTTTTTTTTTTTTGTTTTTGTAATTTGTTTGGACTTAGAAAAAATTCGTATCCTTTTTGAGAAAATGAACGGAAGAAGAAAGAGAGAGATATACATATATAGTGAGATATAGTAAGTTAGAAGAGTAGTAAGAAAACGAGAGATAGAGAGAGAGAGAGAGAAAGAAAGAGTATAAGAGATACAAAGAAAAAGTGTTAAAAAAAGAAGTGAAATATTTTTTTTTTTATTATTGAATTAGGTAAACTTTATTTTAAGATCAGACAACCAAGTTGGAAAATATAAGAAACTGGCTAAAAAATCGTTAAATGTTAGGGAGAACGACTCCTGAGTAAAAGAAATAAATTATAAAGTCAAAGAACTTAAGGAAAGGAAACTATAACTAATATGAATATGAACAAAAGCTGTAAGTAAAAGTCTGGAAAAAATACCATAATAGAGGTAAAAGCTTTCTGATTTTAAGCGAAAGCAATATAACTTTCGCTGAAAAATTCTTAGAATCGGAGTAACTAATTTTAGGAAATATTTTAGAGCAATATTAAAGATTATGAAAAGTATCGATTGATAAGAGTAGATTGATTAAAAAAACTCTATTCTATTAAAGATATGTAAATCATTCGAAAACTAAATTCCGATAACTTTAATTATGAAATTTTTTCCAGACTTTCTGAATTACCCGCCTAAAAACAGACTATAAGCTCCATAACAACTCTTACCATTAACGGCACTTCAAGAAACCCCTGTTTACTCTTAACCGAATCCGTGCGCTTATAACGTTTCCCCACATCTTCCATATGAACCGTAGTCTCTCGCTGCTGATAATCACCGTTTTCCAATTCATCATCCGTTTCGACAAAATAGTCATCGGTACCAAAACTACTACCCATAGGGTAATTACTAAATATACGTGAAGTTTCCGAACCACTACGCCTTCTACTGCCGGCATAGCTACCGCCACCTATACTCAATGCACCCGAAGCGGCAGAAAAGGAAAATCTTCTTGGTGGTTCCAGCAAACTGCTATAGCCACCGCCCACCGAAGAGAAACGAAAGCCTCTATTAAGCATAGGCGGTGCACTGACATTGCCCAGGGAAAGCATTCGTTGACGTCTATAGAGTATAGTATCATATTCATCGGGATATATTGACATACCGGTAGCAACCATGGCTTCTTGTATTTCGCGTTCCTCTTCTTCTTGCATGCAAACCGCGGCAACTGCAGCCATTTTTGGATCCTGCGAACATATATAAAGGAAATTTAATAAACGTTTTTTTATGATTTTCGATAAAAACTTACTTTCAAAACCTTTAAAGTTTCATTTGAGCTACTGCGACTTTTCCACACTATCAAGAACACCATAAGACCAAAGAAACCACCCAAAGTAGCGGCTATACGAACACCGGTCATAACGTCATATGTCTCAAAGAATTCCCTACGTATGCGGTCACGTTCCTGTTGATATAATTGCTCTTGTATAGTTGCATTATTTGGAGGCAGGGGTGAGGCAGTATACGGCATATTATTATTAGGTCTAAACAAAGATAATATTATTAAGATCTGGAAAGTGTGGATAGTAGATATATAGGCCGATCTTACCCAGTCGTTGTTGTATAGGCATACACATTACTATGTGTTGTTGTAAATTGTGTACCATCATTTCGTAATGGATATGGCGTAGCAGTAACTGTAGCTGAGGCACTCGCATAACCACCCAAAGGAGTATCAATAAAATGTGTTGCACCCGAGGGTACCGATCTCGCCGATTTACCTTCATTTAAAATACTATTGGCATTTGTACGACCTTCGAAAGATACTGCCTGCTGTGACGTCTTATATGAGGCGGTGGCGGCTGCTGATCCAGACGACGACAATGATGACGTATGTGCAGATGTAGAGGAAGAAGACGACGTTATCGCAGCACTATTTGAAGACGACGAGGCAACAGCACGTCGTGAAATTTTGGCCATTTCTATAGGAACATCTTCTGGAAATGAAATTAATATGGAAAAAGTTTGTAAACAGTAAATATTAAAATTAGTCCAAGATAACTGTAAAAGGTCTCAGTTAAGAAATGGTAGTACATATAAACTAGTGATTTACAACCATTGCATAGATTATTATTAGATTTTTAGTGTTGAAATAACTGTAATATCTTATAAACTTCATCTACACACTGTGCAACTGTAAGCTACTAACAAGTTAAAAGAATTTATTGTTAAATTCCCCATAAATTTTATATTTGTGTCTAATAATAGATTTTCTAATAAATCCTGTTATGTATTTTCTCATTTTTCTTCATTTCTTTTAGTCCAGACAGCATAATCAATGCCTTGACTTTATGGTCATTTCTATGAACTTTGACTATAATGGAGGAGAAAGGTAAAAGCCATTTAATATGTACTTTTGCTATTTCTAAAATAAAACCAAAATGTGTGCCAAAAATAACGATTACAATCTACCCACAAAGTTGTAAAACATTTTTTCTAATATTGGTTTGATATTGGTTGAAAAGAAAGATATTTTAATGATTTAATGAAAGAATTTTCATAGCTTTGAATGAAAATCACCTACAGGGAGAGAAAAAAATAATATACATATAACTGTAATGGATTTTGTAATAAATAGTATGAATAAAATCATTCAGAATATGGAAAGTTCGTAAATATTATGAAAGGAATAATAGTGAAAGGAAATTTCAATATTTGTTTAACAAACCTAAAAATATAACGAAAACTACTATGGACTCCTCTATAGACTAGTTCACTGACAAGTCTGTGCATTAGCCTATGAACAAGCCAATGTACTAGTAAATATACTAGATATATGTACATATGGACTAATCTATGGTAAAAGTCTTAATGTTTCCTTAATTCTGTAAATATATATTTTAGTTTCTTTAAAAACTATTTTCAACAAAAGTAAATAGTAAATCATTAACCCTTTAGAAATTCAATTTACCACCTGTGCCGTTTGGCATAAATACCAAACCGCTAAACAAGTCAGAAATTAAATTTAATTAATTATCTTATCTCTAACATTTAGACAGCAACAACAACAAACATGACAAGACTAATAAATTTAATTTAATCAAATTTAATTATAAAATAAACACATCAAACAAAAAAGTGCAAAACATATCAGCGAACATACGACCAACTGTTTGACTGACTGCCAACAGCAAACAAATAATTTATACACAAACGGACGGACCGACAAGAATTAAATTAAATTAGCTTTTAAGATTCGTTTTAGTGGAAGTTGAATGGACGCTAAATTTAATAATAAACACCACAACGAAAATATACACAACTTAAAAGCTTTTACTGATCAGCTGTGCTTTATTAATAAGGCAAACGATATTTCGTAGAATTAAGTGACTCCGTGGCGCAACGGTAGCGCGTCTGACTCCAGATCAGAAGGTTGCGTGTTCAAATCACGTCGGGGTCAAGCGAAATACTTTTTTTTAATTCTTAAATCAAATTGTAATTTATAAAAGAAAATTTATTAAAAATTTTATATAAAAGAAAATTTATTAAAAATTTTATATAAAAAGAAACTTTTTGAAAATTTTCTATAAAAAGAAAATTTTATGAAAATTTTCTATAAAAAGAAAATTTTATGAAAATTTTCTATAAAAAGAAAATTTTATGAAAATTTTCTATAAAAAGAAAATTTTATGAAAATTTTCTATAAAAAGAAAATTTTATGAAAATTTTCTATAAAAAGAAAATTTTATGAAAATTTTCTTTAAAAAGAAAATTTATGGAAAATTTTTTATAAAAAGAAAATTTATGGAAAATTTTCTATAAAAAGAAAATTTATGGAAAATTTTCTATAAAAAGAAAATTTATGGAAAATTTTCTATAAAAAGAAAATTTATGGAGAATTTTCTGTAAAAAGGAAATTTATGGAAAATTTTCTATAAAAAGAAAATTTTATGGAAAATTTTCTATAAAAAGAAAATTTTATGGAAAATTTTCTATAAAAAGAAAATTTTATGGAAAATTTTCTATAAAAGGAAAATTTATGGAAAATTTTCTACAAAAAGAAAATTTTATGGAAAAATTATGGAAAATTTTTTATAAAATGAAAATTTCTGGAAAATTTTCTATGAAAAGAAAATTTATGGAAAATTTTCTATAAAAAGAAAATTTATGGAAAATTTTCTATAAAAAGAAAATTTATGGAAAATTTTCTATAAAAAGAAAATTTTATGGAAAAATTATGGAAAATTTTCTATAAAAAGAAAATTTATGGAAAATTTTCTATAAAAAGAAAATTTATGGAAAATTTTCTATAAAAAGAAAATTTATGGAAAATTTTCTATAAAAAGAAAATTTATGGAAAATTTTCTATAACAAGAAAATTTATGGAAAATTTTCTATAAAAAGAAAATTTATGGAAAATTTTCTATAAAAAGAAAATTTATGGAAAATTTTCTATAAAAAGAAAATTTATGGAAAATTTCTATAAAAAGAAAATTTATGGAAAATTTCTATAAAAAGAAAATTTATGGAAAATTTCTATAAAAAGAAAATTTATGGAAAATTTCTATAAAAAGAAAATTTATGAAAAATTTCTAAAAAAGAAAATTTATGGAAAATTTTCTATAAAAAGAAAATTTATGCAAAATTTTCTATAAAAAGAAAATTTTATGGAAAAATTATGGAAAATTTTCTATAAAATGAAAAATTATGGAAAATTTTCTATAAAATGAAAAATTATGGAAAATTTTCTATAAAATGAAAATTTATGGAAAATTTTCTATAAAAAGAAAATTTATGGAAAATTTTCTATAAAAAGAAAATTTATGGAAAATTTTCTATAAAAAAAATTTATGGAAAATTTTCTATAAAAAGAAAATTTATGGAAAATTTTCTATAAAAAAGAAAATTTATGGAAAAATTCCTATAACAATAGAAAATTTATGCAAAATTTTCAAAAAAAAAGAAAATTTACCTTTATTTAATACTATAGAATATAGTCTGTCCTATATTCTAGTCTATATTATGGATTATAATATTATGGACTATAGTTTAGCTTATAGTCTTAGCTATAGTCTAGCCAATAGTTTCGACTATATGCTAATGCAATGTCTATAGTCTAGTGTAATGTCTGGAGTTAATAGCCTAGTATATAGTCTGGACTATAGTGTAGTCTATAATTTGGACTATAGTCTGGACTATACCCTAGTCTATAGTCTGGGGTATAGTCTAGTCTATAGTCTGGACTATAGTCTAGTCTATAGTCTGGACTATAGTCTTGTCTATAGCTATAGTCTAGCCAATAGTTTCGACTATATGCTAATGCAATGTCTATAGTCTAGTGTAATGTCTGGAGTCAATAGCCTAGTATATAATCTGGACTATAGTGTAGTCTTTAGTTTGGACTATAGTCTGGAATATAGTCTAGTCTATAGTCTGGAATATAGCCTAGTCTATAGTCTGGACTATAGTCTAGTATATAGACTGAATTATAATCTGCTATATTCTATACATATTATGGAATATAGACTATATTCTGGACTTTAGAACATTTTATAATCTGGACAATATTTTAGTCAATAGTCCGGACTATAGTATAGTCTATAGTCTAGTCTGAATTCTAGTCTATAATCTAGTCTATAGTCTAGTCTATAACCTAGTCTATAGTCTAGTCTATAATCTAGTCTATAGTCTAGTCTATAATCTAGTCTATAGTTTAGTCTATAGTCTAGTCTATAGTCTGCTCTATAGTCTAGTCTATAGTCAGGGCTATAGTCTAGCCTATAGTATTGTCTACAGTCTCGATTATAGTCTGAAGTATAGTCTAATCTATGGTCTTGACTATATTCTAGTCGATAGTCTGGGTGATATTCAAGTCTATTGTCTGAGTTATATTTAAGTCCATAGCCTGGGTTAAAATCTAGTCAATAGTCTGTTTATAGTCTAGTCTATAGCCTGAACTATAGATATATGTATGTACATACATATGTGTATGCAAATATGTATACTTTGTTCTTGATTTAGAACTTTAAACAATTAATTTAATAAATACATTTCACTTATTACGAAGCCCTCTAACTAAAATTTCGCTGTAAAACATGAAAAAAACATATAAATTTATTCACCTGCATATTGTGTCTGGTAACATGTTGCATACGACGACAATACAATGACTTTTTATGTTTCCTTAACAGCAAAAACTAAAATTATAACGCCAAGATGCATTAAATACGTTTGTGCAAACAAAAGTTTATTGTTTAAAGCGTTTGTGATCACACGCTGGCATGAAAAGGTACCCAAAAAAGTAATAATATTTATAGAAAAACAAAAGAAAAAGTTTTAAAAATAAACCACATGTTATTGTTCAAACATGATGTTGTCACCGTTTAAAAATTACTCAAACAATCTCACATACAAATGTATCCTTAAGCATACATATATGTGCGAGGTTTTCCTTCCACTCTGTTTCTATCTCACTCCCTCTTATTACTCAAAACTTTTTATAACATTTTTTTTTTTTTTTGAAAGAAACAATAAAGTTAGTTTTTTATCGTTGCTGAGTAAACAATATGCAGTTTTGTGCATATGCTGTGAAGGATGGTCCCAAAAACAAGAATACACATTTAACAAAAAAGTGGCATTATAAAATAAATTGAACTTTCAGTTTCAGTTCAAAACACCCACTTTCTTTTATTACCATATTAAGGGGTGAATCCTAATGTAGGATGGTGAGTTTTTGCTTATGGTTAAAAAACGAGAAAAAATTAAATTAAAAAAATAACGTTGGCAATAAGAGATGCTTGGAAAACTTTAACTGCATGTGCGAGCATTAGACTGCATCAAAATAGAATTGTCTATAATTCAGAATTTTGTTTGAATTAAAGAATCGTCTATATTCCTATATATAGAATTTATTGTAGTTCAGAATAAAGACTACAAGTCCAGACGGCACACTAGAATAAACTCCAGTCTAACTCAGACTATATACTAGACTAA